ATAATTAATTCCAAAATCTTATTTCAAATTTATCTGGACCCTTAGTCTGTTTGTAGCATCAAAGTTTTAATCACCCTTTTGCTGTTCATTCCCCCCCCCCTAAATTTTAAGTGCTTAAACTTGTAGTTAAAACTTTCTTTCGCTAGGGATTGAAGGAAACTTACCCAGTGCTGTCAAACTTGTTGATCCAAAGGTTTCTAGTAGCTAAAAAGCAGTTAATATACAATTTCTGAAAGTGATTAGAAAAAAAAGTATGCAAACCCAGTGTCCTTCCAAAGGCACCGACCGCAGTTTGAGCAAGATGGCTATTCTGTCTCCCAGAGCTCTAAACCCACCAGAGACTGTTACCTTGCAGTCTCCTCGCAAAGAGCAACTGTAAGGAGCACTTGTGGGTGATCTCAAGTCCTCTCCTTGTCCAGAGAGGAATTATTGAAGGGCTGGTCTACTTGCCAGTCCTTCAGTCTGCTGCAGTCATCGGCTCTGCTTTTTGTGGAGCCATCTTCAATCCCCCATTTCTTCCTCCGGAAGTGCATTTCTCCAAAAAATTTGCAGTATGTCATTTCAGCCTCCATGTAGGCCTCATAGGCATTCTTAGAAAATAGAAAAGGTGAGTTACCGCAGCACAGTGCTTTCTTAGTGTTGGATGCATCATCTTGATTCACCCAACATTACAGAACAGAGGTAAAATCAAATGATGTCCTACTTTCCATCTCTATTCTGGCACAGTTATTTATATAAAAGAGTTAACACTGGGATCATCAAAGACCTCTCCCTTTGGCTTGTCCATGCTAGTTATCACAGTATTGTTTCCAGCTGGAGTTTAGTTTTTAGTTTTTTAGTTGTTTTTATCCCACCTTTATTATTTTTATAAATAACTCAAGATGGTGAACATACCCAATACTTCTTCCTCCTCTTCCTATTTTCTCCACAGTAACAACCCTGTGAGGTGAATTGGGCTGAAAGTCACTGGCTCAAAGTTACCCAACTCTGTCCTTTTGATCTATAAAGGTAATATAAATTGTTGATAATAAGTCTTCTGCCCTTTTAACCCTTACTTGTTGTTAATGTCTCTCTCTTCCTGCTTTTGGCTGCCTTTTGTCCCACTTTGCCAGTTAAACTTTTTTTAATGTTTGCTGATGTTTCATAAATAAAAATCACGGTTTTGTTTTTTGCTAGCTGAATTGAGTGGCATTTGGGCTTGCCCTTATCTGAATGTACAGATTGACTGGAAGTATATTGTGTGCAAACTAAACTGGAAATTACCTACAGTAATTCTGCAACAATTAGGAACACCCTTAGAAATGGGTGCTTGGTTACTGATTACCCCCACCATAGCAGCCATTTTGTTATCGCATCCAGAGTATGCTCTCAAATTTCCAAATGTCACCCAGACAAAAAACTTACATCACATCTGAATAGCAACATGGGACGTTGAGTTTAGGAGTATGGTGATATATCTGAAATATTGGTGCAATAGTTCATCAAAAGGATTGCTTCTGCATACTCCTCTTTCCCATTCATTTGATGTGTAATGATATTAGGATCCTGCCTTTCTCTGACTCCATTTCTTTACTAGGGAATGTATTGGCATAAGGTCAATGTTACTATATGTTATGGAGAAGGTTAATGAAGACAGTATCAGAAAGCTTGTTTTGACCACATTCTTTGTGAATCCAGCGTGTGAATCCAGTAGCAGTTCCAGGAAATCAGAGGTGGTAATTCATTGTCATGGAGTGTATGGGCTTGGAAGATCTATTTCTGATTCCCCCAGAACTCCCAAATGTTGCCATCAATATTTGGAGGCAAAACGGCTGAAGTTTGGTGGTGTGATTTCAGGCCATTTGTGGGGGGGATGTTTACAGATGAAGAGGAGGGTTTGCATTCTCCCATTCTCCCATCTCCCCCGCTACTGAAATAATGGACCACCGCAACAACAAAACTGGTTCTGCCCCTTCCAGTTGTATAATAGTACCATCAGAAGACCTTGGCTAGACCTCTGGAATATTGGGGGACAGAGGCAAATTGAGGTACTGATTGTAAAATAATAAATAATATAAGAAAAAAATAAGGCTTGGGATAGGAACATTTCAGTTCAAAAATCTTTAAGAAGTGAACAAAAATAGTTGTACAAATATGCCAATAATTATCTATTTCCTGGAATCTATCTATCTATCTATCTATCTATCTATCTATCTATCTATCTATCTATCTATCATCATGGTCCAGGAGCATGATACTGATTAGAGCATTCAGATAATGATGTATGGTCTCCAAACCATCAGACTCAGCGAGTTGAGTGGAGAGCAGAGCAAAGGTACTCAATGAGGCTTCTTACCAAGCAAAGATGTCCCTGCCTGAATTAAAGACAGCTGGCTGCAGCCTGATTTAAGAGGCAGCCTTAACCCATGTTTCGCTGTTAGAAGCAACTGTCTGATTTCCTGTTCTGGCATGTTGTTCCTGTGTCTTCTGCTTGTGTAAAAAATCTGACCCTTGGAATGGCTGATGAAC